ATACGTATAATAATCCCAAAGGAATGTCGAAATATTAGAGGATGGTTTGAGAAATTAGGGAAAGTTAAAGAGAAAATATGGTAGACTATGAGATGATGATTTAAATATAGTTAAAGGAAATATTTTAAAGAAATTGTAGAAAGAGAGAGAAAAAAAGTCGAAAAGAAGGAAGAAGGAAAAGAATAAGACTTTTTAAATATAAAATAATGAAAAATAACGGAAAAGGTAGGTGGAGAATATTAAATAGATTAAAGCTGTATAAGTGCAAAAAAGTCATGTAAATCGGAAATGTATTGGTAAATGCATTATTAAATGTAACGAGTTTTAAGACACTGGAATTTAAAAGCACGTGATGTAGGCTGTTTTTTTTCTCTCTTTAATATAAGAGGTAAATAAAGTAGGTATAAGTTAGATATTGTTAATATGTGGAGTATATATAAAAAAGAAAGAAAGAAAAAGAAAGAAAAAGAATATGTAGACATATATATAAAAAAGCAGTTTTAGGAGAGTTAGCGATGTTTTATAAGGCAAGGATAAATATGTGTAGTTATATAAAAACTACACACTACTAATTTTGTAAAGCAAAAAATCCATTTTTATATCTGAAAAAATAAAATTCATAATCATCTCAAATCCTAATAAACTGTAGAACAATAATACATGGAATTAATAATACATAAAAAGAATAATTTTGCTGGAAAGTCTAAAAATTTTGCTGGATACAAATTTGAAAATAATTCTTGTTGGATTATCAAAATAATTTGTTAGAAAGTCAAATTAATTGCTATCAATAATTAATTCAAAACTAATTAATATCAAAACGCAATTTTATATAGCAATCTTTATCATTTTTGAGTTTCCAATAAAATTATTTTGATGGTCTAACAAAATTATTTTCAGATTCAAATTTTTTAACCTTTCTGCGAAATCGTTCTTTCCGTGTACAATTTGTAATTAATTAATAATAGCGACTTTTAATTGAAACGTAAAAACACTTCAAGTAATTGTTTCATAATAAAAATTAGTGACTTGCCAAGTTAAGACTCTTAAATTAGGCTTCAAAACTCACACGAGATGATATGACACACAGAGAGAGAATCGATAGAAAAAATTTAAAGCCATTTTTTGAAATATTAACAAACTATACCCTCTTATCGTTTTAAAAATTAACGAGAAGAACCAAAATGTACCACGGAAAGAACAATTTTATTGAATCCAGATCTGAAAATAATTTTTGTTTCAGTAATCAAAATAATTTTGTGGGAAAATCAAAATAATTGCTAGATTTTTATAGCAATGCTTATCATTTTTAACATTCCAACAAAATTTTTTGATAATTCAACAAGAATTAATTTTCAGATCTGTATTCAGCAAAATTTTTAGATCTTTCAACAAAATCGTTATTTCCGTATGACTCCTCCGCGCGCAAATTTTTGATTACTCTGAATTCACTGCGAGTCGCACATCGTGCACGTCGGTCGTCGCAGACCCCTGGCACGGTGTCCCGTTACATTTAACGACGAACATCTGTCCGTCGGGGGCGGAAACGTAACCCAGGGCGGGATTTTATGCAGCGCCGCCGGCGAGATTTCGCGTCGCGTGTTGTTCGATTTGTGACGGAGCCGATTCGGTATTTACAGACGTCCAATTTCCGCGCGCGATCTGGCATTACTCCTCGGTGCATGCGCGCACGCAGAACGTTATTTCGGTTTGCCGGGTGCGCCGGTTGACGTCACGCCCACGCGCGTGCGTGGGCGGCTTTCGAGGATGCGATTTACCGCGATAATCGGCTCGCGCGATCGAAATTTGGAGGTGCTAATTTACGAGTTGTTGCCAAAGTTACGACCGCTCGCGAAAAACAAGCCAATGCGTGCGTCATATTCAATGCGTATGTATCCACGTGTAGCATGGTTTATATTTCATTCCCTTCTTTACCGCCAATTAAAACTGTTATACGATCCAAAATTTAAGCTCATTGTATGATTAAACTTGCACACGTAATGCAGCACTAAATGTGTGCCATAGATTCCTTATATTAAAAACACACGGTTTTTTTCTTTAGAAAAAATTCAATATGGTCTTTTATATAGTTTTAAAAATACTTTTTTCCAAGAAAAATCAAATTAAATTACATAATTTTTGGAATTAAATACTCACTGTTAATTTTCCGGATTCGGTAATTCAAACGACGTATCATTTAGGAGTAAGATAAGAATACCTTTGATGTTACAATACAGAGATTTGGGATAGAAAGAGATTTAGGAAGTTCGATAATAATCTTCTTTTACGGGATTACGACTTACTCAGTATCAGGCACAGGTATCATAGAAGGAGGTAGGCGGCCGTTGTGGTCCAGAAAGTGATTGATCTCAGGTTCTTCTTGCACTGGGGTCTCGTAAACGAGGGTTTCCACCATCGATCCTTTGCTGGAGCCGAAAGATACCCTAAACAAATGATTATTCTTGATGAAGCAACAAATACATATCTAAGCGTAAAACAAGTTTATCAATAAATTTATCTAATTATTATGGTATTATAAAGAGGCGAATAAATAGAGAAGAATAATATTCTTTATATTTTGACAGGAGATAAAATGATCCTTTACTCATTTCGGACACCCTGTATATTCGGCATGCGATCGAAATGGGTCGACATCTAGCAGTGCATGAAAAATACTCGTTGTAAACCTCAGTTTTCCATCGCGCGACCGCAACTGATGCGACCGCAAAGATGATATCAAAATCAAAATCTCGCGATCGCCATACGGCGTCGGATTACGATCGCGCGAGATCGAGATCGAGATCGGCGCGCATACAAATAAGTGTGCCGTACAGAGTTATTTATTACTCGCCCCGGAAGCGGCACCGCCAAAAAAGAAACAAAAGAAATTCCGAACAAATCACCGCCAGCCATCCACAAAGATTGCACGTCATATATATTAATACAAGAATGAGTTTTAAATAACCTTACACTTTTTGTAAGTTAGTTAATTAATTTTATCAATAAATCAAAATTACCTGTTTTTATAAAAATTGTTGGAAATTTCTCGAAAATAATGTACAAATTATATAAATTTAAATTAAAGAAATTAAGGCTCTTAAGAATAAAGCAGACATAACAAAGTAATGCCAATGCGAGCTGACACAGATGTGTATGATTGTAATTTTTATTGTTACAATATCCTGCACATACAAACTGCGCGCTGCACTTTTTGTCGGTCTTAAAATACAGTCGTTTACATGAAGCCGGATTCCACTCTAAGTCAATTTAATATTTTTGATCAACAATATATTTTTGAACAACATCTATATAAGAATTTCCTTCCCTCAAAACCTATAAAGAATTTATTGCGAAAAATATCACTTCAACCAGGATTCGAGTCTGGACCAGTAAATTCTTTACAGGTTTTGGAGAGGGAGAGAGATTCTTACACGCAGATGCTGTTAGCATTAAAAATTAAATTTCTTGTCAATTTAATTCGTAAAATTACAGCGGAATCCGGCTTCAATGTAAACGACTGTGTTTTAAGACCGACCTGACCGACAAAAGGTCGCGCATTTTGTATGTGGCTGGATATTGTATAACAATAAAAGACACCAATATCCGTGTCGGCTCACGCTGGCTCTACTTTGTTATGTCTAAGAAAATTATATATGTATTTGCATTTAATTCTGTGCATGAAAAATCAGAGAAAGAATTTATTCTTTCAAACAAAAAATAAATAAATAAATAACAGAATAATAAAAAATGTATTTTAAAAATGAATAAATAGCTAAATTCAGTCCATTTGTATATATGTAAAATAATATGAAAACAGTACTGATATTCAACAATTTTTCTACTTCAAAAAAGTATAAATTGTTCACGGAAGTGGCCTTAAAATAAATCGCCAAACTTTGGGAGTATATCCTATTCTTTGGAAACGAAAGAAGCATGCAGTCAGCAAACGCGTTCTTCTTCATGAATCGTAAATACGCTTTGTGCCAGAGAGAGAGTTTGACAAGAGTGCCTAGGTAAACTTGTAAAACTTTAATCTTAGTACAAACACCACTTCCTTAAACAAATCGTTAAAAATGACTTCTTTCCGTACTCTTTCGAAGCGGTGCATGTTTCAGAAAAAATCGATGATATCGCAAAATGCGAATGCATTTGGAATACTCGATAGAAATGTACGAATTATTCAAATATCAATTAAATCAAATCAGGTAAATTTGATTCGGATTTGAAGCTCTATCATGCGAATTATTAAAAAATTTCGAATCTAAGAGGTTCAAATACGAGTCACATATATTGACAAAATATTATAAAATCATGTTTTAGCTAATTGTAAGAAATAAAACATAGAAATCTCTTTTTATTATCTGTACAATAAAATTCAATTACCTAACAATAATTATGTTATAAATTAAAAGATAATATGTTTCAGTTACGAATCAATTCGATTTAATTCGATTCGGATAAAAAATTTTGTCGTTTCGGTTTAATTCGAATTCAAACAAAAATATGAAATTCGGCTTGATTTGATTCGGTATAAAAAAATCTTGATTCGCACATCTCCAATAATCGAGTGAATGAGAATCGATTTCGATCTCGAAATTTTCGCGGGAAGTTATCGAATAGCGTCGAGCATTCGCATTAATAAAACAGAAAACAGCATTAGCGGATCACCGGCGCGGCGCAAACCGGTTTTCGCGCAGCGTCGCCACATATAAAGGTGGATCTCGACTGAGCTAGCAAAGACGAACGATCGCACGAACGAGCATTTAAAACGAATATGAACGAGCGTGACGAATTCGTCTCTTTTGCCGGAAAGAACCAGATTTCGCCGATATATGTATATGTATATGTATTCGGACTCGTGTTCGTGCTCCCGCGTTCCGTCTCATCGAAGCAAGCACATTCGTTCGTTCGTGTTCGTTCGCGCCCCTCGCTCTCGGTCCGGATCCGGTTTTTAACGCGCGCTCGTGCGCGCGGCTTATTATTCATCGCTGCGGACGCAGTTAATCCCGCGGCCGGATAGATCGTCCGACGCGGCTCGCCGCGCATGTCGAGGAATCAATTAAGCCACCACATCGCGAGAGATCGATAAGTCGTGCCGACCGATTTATCCGGTCGAGATTGCTTTCTTACCCCGCCGATCGAACGTGATATCGTGACGGCATTAAGCCTTTGCTCTTTCTTTGGTTGTATTCGTTCTCTCTCTCTCTCTCTCTCTCTTTTTCTCTTCCTCTCTCTTCCATGATTACGTACAGATATCGTTTTATACGACGGTTTTATGCGGATAATGCAATAAGTACAGCCGATTTAGAACTCGACGGATCTCTTACGAGCTGTTAACAAGCTGTTGAGACATGAGATGCTGCGCGCTGGTTCAAATCTGCGCTGAAACGGATTGCAGTAAGGTGCTGCCACGCGTGGCCGTATCTCCCAACCAGAATATGTCAAAGTCATGTGGGCGTTGAGACGACAGAGCCTACAGTAGGTCTGCGCTTTTATCTGCACTTAGAATCAATCGATATGTGCAACAAATAAGTGTACAATAAAATGACAAACGTTAGATCGGTTGGATAACACATGACGTAGATAAGGAGATAAAATTTTACGTTGTCTTAACTTTTAACTATTCCATCAAATTAACGGCATGAGATCCACATATAATTATTTTAAAGATTTCGATCTAAAATATCTATTACGTGCGTAAGAATATAGTTTTCATTATAGACTAACGCATAACAATAACAGCGCGTTATTTCTCACGACTGGCGTTCTCTCTTTTCGTGCGTCTGCTTCATTTTATTTTGTAATCTCTCCTTGCCTTTTAATAACATTAAATTACTTCACCGAGGAAAAAAAAGGAATAATGACGGGATAATAATTATTGAACGCGAATTTCATTCGCGACTAAATTTCAGAATCGTTCGAGAGTACCAGTACTCAGGTGTGTTATTGTAATCTTTGTAACACTGAAAAAGAGATAATCCGATACGACACCTGGTCTAGATGAAGGGTTGAGGTGGGTCGGGGTCGAGGTCGCCCGGCTGGCAGCCTCCTATCGATCTGGAACTCCGATTTGACCTCCGAATTCGCCTCTGGTCCATGAAGGCCGTAAGAGAACGGAAGTATCGCCCCCTCCCCCCATTCCTCCGTTAAAGACAACTTCTGTCTTATTACGCCGCTTTATTTTCTCAAGCGCCGTATCGATCAATTTCTAAACTAGTCTAGGGCAATATCTCCTTTGTTCTAACTGCTCTAGGACAATATATCGCCTACGTTCCGTAACATATTTCTGTCTGGCGATCTAATCGCTAATTTAACGCCAACTCGAACACCAACCCGATACGGGACGTTGCATTCGAGATCCTATAAATAATTCAAGCGACGTACATGTGAAATTAATTGAGGACTAAATCTCGATAAGAAATCTTGATTTCACACGGAGAAGCGGCACAATTTCGGATCAATTGCGTTTTCCTCAAGCACGATTCGTAATTAATTCAGGATTTCGCAAGCGATCCGTGAGCGAGCCGTAACGATAACCGCGAGAGACGTGCCGGCGTTCAAAAGAAAAAAAAAATTTTTTTTAGAATGTTTATTTTTGCTCGATCGCAGAAGAATTGCTGCATCGGGCTGTGTGATAATTTTACTCTCACGGCTCGTGAAGTATCGAACGCAGCGAGCCGCGGCGGCAGTCGATTAGCGAGGGGGTATAGTCTGGGCTCGGTTGGAATCGATTATGGAATCCCACGCTTCTTGTTTGCAATAGAGAAAACACTTTCATTTCAATCTCCTCGTGCTTTGACAGAAGTGCATTTATTATTTAAACTTCCCGCCGATTCAAAATATGCACAAGGATTTTAATATTAGCAAAATCTCTATGACGTGTAGGTGCTGCACATTGACATATGAAAATTTAAATTCCTAGTAAATTTCCTTTTTTTAACAACACAACGATTTTTATATCTTAGGATTTTTTATTTTTTAATATTAATTACCTCAATTAATTAAGCTTCAAATTAAAATAGAATGAAATGTTATCAATAAGAATGAATAAATTAGAAAGACATTAGAATAAATCAGAAATAACTATTATAAATGTCTCCTCCACTGAGAGAAAAATATTTTGTATTTGTGATTATAACTGCATGGTAAAAAAATTATGGTGAAGAACACTATTTTTATAGTTATTATTATTACAATGTTAATAATAATACCCTTATATGTATAGTTCTACCAAATATAAAAAAAATTTACTATAAATAAATATTTTTATGTAGTAAATGCAACTGCAATTATAGTAGGTATAACTATTTTCTTAACATTTTATTACTATTTATATTGTAATAATAACTAAAAAATAAGTAAACGAAAAAATAATATCAATCATAATGTATAACCATAATGCATTGTTAAAGCAGTTATAATTTGCATGGTTAAATTATTATAATTTTATAGTTGTCCACAAAAAATCACTATAAATTATAGTTAAATTATGGTTATTCCAACTATATTTTTCACTCGGTGCTAATAAAAAATGCGATTTTTCAAAGAGTTGAGCCAAAAAATCTAGACGCACATGTGCAAACGGATTTATCTGCTGATATACATTTGCAAAAATAGACGCTAAATACGCAACAGTATTTCCTAAGTACGCAACAGTGCAGCGTTTTGGCAACGGATCAGGTCATACAGTGCCTTTCTAGAGTGATTCAAGCCACGCGCTGCCAGCATTATTACGAAGTCAACCTAAATAAACGCTCTTCCTCGAAAACGCATTAACCGACGTTGGTGTTATAATCTGCATGTTAGCGTATCCCTTATCGCGGAATTTATTTATCATCAAGCAATGTTTGAGACCCATTGAGCCGAACTGATCTCGTTATTACTTAGTAAGTAAAGTATACTTAATGAATACTTAAAACGGAGAAATCATCAGAGATACAGTAATCATAACTGTGACATGAAATTATCGAATTCGCGATATTTTTAGATGCGTTAAGTGAACTCGCGCGGCAAAGTAATTAGCGTTGTTGCGATAAGGTGTCTTGAAATTCTCTCTCTTATCGGTGTAATGAGAAATAACAAGAACTGCGCTTTTGCGTTAAAAATGTAATCAAGGTTTTTTTTATGCCAAATCGAATCGAATTGAATTTCAATTCTTTGTTCGAATCCAAATCAAATCGAATCAATGTTGAAACATAACTTTTAATTAACAACATAATAATTATTGTTAGGTTAAATTTTAATATACAGATAATAAAAAAAATTTCTATATAATTCTATATATAAGAAGAAATAATGTTATATGATATACTGTTTTACTTATATTAGCGGGAACTATTATTTTATGAGATTGTCCATATATGTATTATATTTAAACTTCTTACAATTAGAAAGATTTGAAATTTTTGAATAGCTCGGATTCGAATCTGATTAAAATCGAATCTTATCTGAATCGATTCGATTCGATTCACATTCGAATGGTTCACGCATCTCTATTTTGCATATATCTTTTGGCAAGGCTACTGCTATTATATGTTGGAATCCGTTTAGCTTCTCTAAATCAGTTCCGAATATTATTTCAGTCATATACATAATATGACGTGTAATGTTCATGAAAAGGTAATGCATGCACGCTCGACGAGATCGAGTCACTTCCTACTTCGCGTTACTTCACGCCGCGCCGCGCCGGTTTCCATCTCTCTCGCCATCTCGTGTGTCTCTTGTCAGGATTATTAAGTGCACTCAGAAGACGGTCCCGGTACGTCTTGTCCGTGCAAGGCTCCGCTCGATGCATTACGACGCCCCGTCGAAGCCACGGCGAGGCTTGACCCTGACCTATCCCACGTGCAAGTGCCGTAAAAGTCTCGTACGGGCTGCGAAAGTCAGTCTATAGACTCGATACGTAGTGACGGTCTCTCTTCTCCTTCCTTTCGCGAAAGAGAGGCATTTTGCCATGTTAAACCGATAACTCGTGTGCGCTCGCAGGGCGGGTAATTGCGGGTTTTCGATAGCGCGGACGAGTTGCGTTCATCGAGAATTTGCTGTGTGTGTGTGTGTGAGAGAGAGAGAGAGAGAGAGAAAACGCATATGTTTAATTTCAATATTTCCTCCGCGGAAAACAATAACAATGTTTCGATTTCAAAGACTCATGATTTTATCTCGCGATTGGAGAGTTGAATGACATTATTTTTCGACAACATTCTAAAATCGTATACAAAAAAAAACGATTTTGCTAGGTCTAAAAATTTTTATGGATAAAAATAATTTGGCAAAATAAAAAAAATAATTTTGTTGAATACTCAAAAATGATTGAGCATTGCTGTAAAATTTTGATATTCTAACAACTAATTTGAATTTCCAACAAAATTATTTTGATTGTCCAACATAATTATTTTCAGATCTGTATCCAGTAAAATTTTTAAACCTGCCAGCAAAATTATTCTTTCCATGTAGGATCTTGGATATAACAGATGCGAATGTCGCCATACCAAGATCCAGAGATTGAGATTATTTTAAAAAGTATACGGAAAGAACAATTTTGTTGAAAGATCTAAAAATTCTGCTAAATACAAATCTGAAAATAATTGTTTGTTGAATCATCAAAATAATTTGTTGGAATGTTATAAAACGTTTTGATATTCTGACATTTTGACTTTCGCAAAAAATTATTTTGATTATTGAACAAAAATTATTTTCCGATCTGGATTCAGAAAAATTATTCTTTCCGTGCAATTCAAAGTTATTTTGTAGAACGTGCGAGACTAGGCCTTCTCTCTTTACGGTGTCTTTAAAATTTGAAATAAATTGCTTTCTTGATAAGGGAATGTGTTCTCCACCTACCTCTTCAGGCTGGCATGCTTCGCGCCGTTGAGAATCTTGTTCTTGCGCTCGCTGCCGGCGGTACTGGCGACGCTGTCGATGCTGTAGAGGCTGTCGTCCTTAGTAACCCTGCTGGCGTTGTGCAGGGTCGACTTCCTCGCGGTGTTCGTCCCGTTGTGCTTCGGGCTCTCGGCCGGCCGAGGGGAGCCGCGCCGGGCGATGGGATCGCCGCCGCTGACGACGCCGCCGGCCGGATCCTCGATCCTGGTGGAGACGATCATCGCTCTAGTCGCGTCCGTGCATTTCCTCGGCGACGTGCTCACCACGGCGGTGCTCTTCTGCAGCTTGCCGGCCGCCGTCGCCGCCGCCGCCGCCGCGCGATAATTGTTCTGCTGGCTGCTGGGCTCGCCGGGCGGTGGCTTGTCCTCCGTCGGTAGCATGTACGACAACATCGTCCCTTTTACCTTCACCTGCGGGGCAAACACGGGAAGCAAACACGTAGGCGGAAATTCAGTATGATCGCCGTGGAAGATCGCCCGGGAGTCATTAACCGCGGGTAGGCGCGCGCGACGGTGAGAAAAATACGTGTATAGCGACACAAAAGAGATCAATCGAGGGTCGTCGGAAGCGGATAGAAAAAGTATACCGTTCGCGGTAATAAGAGCATGACGGACGAGCCGGTTGATTAATGCTCCGAGAGAGACATAGTTGGAGACGTTAACGATAACATACCGGCTCTCTCGCAACAATTAGGAAGGATTCGGATGATTCTCTAGCTCGAATCAAATGTCAGCGATTAGTAAAAGCCAAAGTAGCGTATTTCAACAAATGTATTCATTTAAGAGCCCTGCCTAGTCAGCCACGAACTCCGCGTTGATAGTGGCGACGCTATATCGCGGTAGAAATTAGGAGTTTCTTGTTATATTAGGCTCGTTCCATAATACGTCATCGGTGTTTTAAGTCATAAACCGTGATAATTCTACAGAATATATTGTATGCCGATATCGCGATAAGCAGTGTAAAATTGATCAATCACAGTCGAATATAAAGAGAATACTCGACTTGAAGAAAATAACGGAGCTACTGTGAAAAGTGTTGACGATAAATTTTGTCTTGCGTGCCATTTCGTTATTACGTGCTTAATTGTGAAAATGTGACTTGTCTCGTATTTATCAAAGTCGTAAAAATGGGTGTAAATTATAGTTATTATCGAATTTTATACGTAAAAGTATCTTTTTCATTCCTTTCAACAGCTGTCAAATCGTGAGTTTTCTTGCCTGAATAAGCTTCATTTTACATGCCTTTTACGACTATTTACTGACTTTCAGGGAGGAAAAGGATAGTTTACACCCATTTTTACAAGTTTTCTAAAGCGGTCCTATTTATTAATTTTATCCAAATCCTCTTTATTTAAAAATGGCACGCAAGAAATTTTTATGTGTCATTTCTCGCTGTTTCTCGCTTCTGACGTCACGAGTCCAATATGACCACGGAGTAGGCAGGGCCCTTAAGATTGAGTTTGGATGCGAAAGATACTTTCAAAGTTTCATTTCTATACGGAAAGAACGAAACTTTTCTTGTTGAAAAGTAACAATTTTGCTAAATACAGATCTGAAAATTAATTCTTGTTGAATCATTAAAAAATTTTGTTAGAAATGATAAGCATTGCTATAAAACGTTTTGATATTGTAGCAATTATTTTGACTTTCCTACAAAATTATTTTGATTATATTGAACAAAAACTATTTTCAGATCTGGATCCAGCAAAATTGTTCTTTCCGTGTATAAATATTGTGAAAAATATTCTAATAAAAAAATAATTATTATTTAATTGCTCATTCGCTGTGACAACGACATAATTCAAAAGACAAAGTTATTCAGAAAATGAGTTTGAATGTTTTGAATCAGTAAAATTTTGTAATATTAAATGTAATTTGAAATGCAATTTTAGGGCAATAACTGAATGTAAAAAAATAAAAATATCCTGGCTGAGAACATAAGGTGATATTTTTTCGCAATAAATTTTTTACAGATTTGTATAGAAGCAAGTTAGCATTTATTTGATGTCGCGAAGGTGGGGGGATTTCACAGGACTTGATGCTTTGGGCATCGATTTATTAGATTGTCGTTGGCAATTTAATTGTGATATTACATACTAGTATACTATTTGGTTCGAAGCTACGGATATGCATGCGATTTGCGGCCACATGGTGTTATATGAACCTAAAATGGTAAGATTCACACTAATATTATATGGAAGCACCAAGATCCGCTTTGTACCGTGTTGGCGTTTTAAGATCTCATTTGTTACGTTAATTTTCCACAGTCTTTCCTGATACTCAAATAAAAATATGTTTTCTTAAAGTCTGTTTTTATCTCTTTTTTTATGTTTTTTTTATACAAGCAAAATCTGCAAAAATGACAATTTTTGAGTTATGTCGTTGCTGTAACAAAAAAGCGACATAATCTTAAAGATTTATTTCGCAAAAAATAATCCTTGTTAAAAAGATACGAACAAAAATACATTGAAACCGCTGCGATGCGTCAATAAAAATTTCAGATTGTACTTGAGAAAGATGCGAGGGGCCAACCACTATTTAAAAAATGTACAGTAATTGCCAATTATGGCAATACAACGCACTTTATTGCTAGTATTGCTATTATGTTGCTTTCATAGTATTGTTAGTAGTATTGCCATCTATTATCTCATGTACTGTCACCTATTGCACAATATTGTCAAGTATTGCTAATGTATTGCTATAGGTATTTCTCGAAGTGTCGCTATGTATTGATAGCATATTGCTAGTATTGTTAATATTGCCGCAATACTATACTGTGTAGCAATATATTCCTACACGGAAAAAACGATTTTGTTGCAAAGCCAAAGGTGCAAATTCATGAGACGCTCGTTTTAGCGTAGGACCATGGCATACAGAAAAACTTAAGCAGTAAGACGTAAGCAGTAAAGAAATCAACCTGCTGGATTTTTGGAGTCACGTTACTTCGACGCTAGCGTCAAAAAAGAAGCTGAATTTTCTCAGTTTCAGCGTCAAAGGCTGTTGTTGTTTTGTTTTGAACATTTTAGAAACGAATGATACGATTGACATTAAACTTGATGTTGCCGCTTTTCGTGCAAGCCAACTATGATCACGTAATTTTGACGCTAAAAATGAACGTCGAATGTCAGCATGAAAAGGCACCTTAAAAATTTTGCTAAAAACAGATCTGAAAATAATTTTTTATTGAATCATTAAAATAATTTGTTGGAATGTTAAAACTGATAAGCATTGCTATAAAACGTTTTAATATTCTATCAATCATTTTGACTTTTGCACAAAATTATTTTGATTATTGAATAAAAATTATTTTCAGATCTGAATTCAGCAAAATTGTTCTTTTCGTGTAAAAATATGTATACTGATTCCCATAGTGGTTGACCCCTCGAAAAGATGTTTTAAAATCTGCAGCGTTTTAGTTAGATACTCATTAACTTTCACACCTCTGATAAACCGTACAACGTCACGACAGAAATTTAACTTAATCAAATATTGAGTTGAATCGGAAAACAGTTGGTTGAGAACGAAGAGAGAACGCGCGTGGGACAATAGCAAGCACTGTTCCTCCCGGTATCGAGAGGATTAAGCCGCGGAGTGTAAGCGGTTCGATATCTCGCGACGGTCAAGCGATTACACAAAATTACGCGTGTCGCGCGGTGCCTATAGTCCGCGTATATAAGCGACGCGGCACTATTATTAGCACGATAAGTCAACCGTCCTCCTGTCAAACCGGTGCATCTCCGGTCTCTCTCGCGCCGCGAGAGAGTCTTTCCCGGACGGATGTCGTCGTCGTCGTCGTCGTCGTTAGCGAATAACTGTATCGGAACTCATCTGGATCCACGACAACGTATAACGCAAACCACCCGCGACGAATCGGAACGGGAGAGCGGGCGCGAAGGAAACGATCCGCTTTAAATGCGTTTACATAGTCACTGACTGACATAGACCCGATGTCGCGCTTCCCATCTTTAGGAGCCGCCGCCGCGGTGTCTTCGATAATATAAAGCTTGCGATATCGGATATAGTAAAAAAAACTCCCGTCGGAGAGAACCGAGTTGATTTAACTGGATTTGTGAATGTTTAAGCGGCGTCGCTGGTAAATGGAAGCTCTGACGCGTGAAAAGATTGTAATTGAGGCACGTCATTGTAGTTGCAAAGTCAATTAAAGTAGAGAAAATCACGGACATTGATGACTGCTTAATGTGATTTATGAGAGAATAATACATGTCTAAATATATTTTTAACATAAATATATACGATCGATAAAAAATGTGAAAAAATATTTTTCTTCTGAATAAAGCAATTAGAGACAGAAATGGTCCGCGACTAAACGCAAGATTCGTGTAAACGTAAAACATGAGATAAAATTGTGTGCTGAGATATCTAAAAATTTAACTAGATACAAAATCTGATGAAATAATTTTGTTAGATCAAAATTTTTATAGGAAACTCAAGCATGATGAGCAATGTAGCAAGAAATTTTTATATTCTAGCAACCATCTTGACAGCGTCTTACATAATTATTTTGATAATCCAACAAAATTATTTTTAGGTCGTACACGGAAAGAACGATTTTGTTGAAAGTCTAAAAATTTTACTAAATACAGGAAAATAATTTTTTGTTAAATTATCGAAATAATTTGTTGGAATGTTAAAACTGATAAACATTGCTATAAAACGTTTTGACATTCTAGCAATCATTTTAACTTTCGCACAAAATTATTTTGATTATTGAACAAAAATTATTTTCAGATCTGGATTCAACAAAATTGTTCTTTCCGTATATCTAGCTAAGTTTTCAGATACTTCAAAACTCTTCTTTCCATGTTGAAATCTAAAATATCGGCATCCAAGCAAAATTATCTTTGACAGAAACAATAATAAAGAAAAAAAAATCACTACCGAGTCGTTTGAGAATTTGCGTGCAACAATTCGGAAAAATAAAAGAGAAAGGTAAAGAAATCCGCTCCACTGATGTCCGCGTCGTCTCATCCGGTATATCGCGATCGACTCACCGAGGCGCGCATAAGCTCACGCGACGCTTATCGCTCACTCACGAAAAGCTTCGCGTCGTAAAATCGGCGATCGTCTCTCCCTCGCGACTCGGCACCGACTCGAGCCGCTTATAAGCTCAGTCCTCGGTTCACGCTCAGACTCACCCGCTGCTGTTCGTTTCTCACGCGCGCGATTTCGCACATCGCGTCAGCTCGTTAACTTGGTGTATGCGCGTTGCTGTAAACTCGTGGTCTCGCGGCCGCTACCGCGACTCGAACTTCGCTCGCTCGTACACATCGACGCCTGCGCGCTCAAACGGAGTCGCATCGCATGATTTCATTTAACACTTTTGACCGTCACTGACGAATTTTTGTAATCGGTCCTCACACCATTGTTTTTAT